AATTGTGGAGATAATCTAAAACAGCACCCCCTTGAGGCACCATATATGATGGTTTATAAAGTATTGTTTGAAGAGGTAAATCCATCTGTTTAGAGCATAACCTGCTGTGAATCTGACTGTGGCTCCTTCTCTACTGGGATAAATGGGATGGGGGTGTTGGTCAGCCAGCAGAGTGGGAATACTTTCCCATTGTTATGAAATTTTATTTCTTATATTTAACTTTAACTTTAGTTATTTTTCATGATTTTTCACTGAATAGTACTTAGTATTGTCACTGCTATTATCTTTTAAACAATTAATATTTTTACTACCTCCAACTTCATTGCATGAAAACTTCCCCTTTGTCTCCTGATCTCCCTCAGACTGCCAGTAGGACTTGAAATCTGCTCATTTTAATAAGGCATAACCAATTGAGTTTACACCTCTTAAATCTGCTTAAGCGATCTGTGTATATCACCCGCACCATGCCCACTCATGCAATTTTACACGCCTTATTTGATATCTTTAAACACAGTTTCAAGAAAACAAAGATTCTTAGGAGCAGCACAGACTAAATAGATTAATGAAAACACATTTGAATAACTGACAATACAACCCTCTTAATAAAGGTCTTGCAGTTGTTTTTGCAACTAAAGAGATCATTATGCTGGTGAAGATTCGCAGCCATCCAGGCCATAGTTGTTCCAATAAAGGTAAAAAAAAAAATATGAACAAATTCCAATGGAACTTTTTTAGAATAAAGAGATCATTTTTAGATGTGACATTTTAGATGCACATATTTCAACAGACCTTTGTCGCAGATTTTGCTCGCCAAATGGAACAGGTTCCATCTCTCCCCAGGTTTTCTTAAAGACAGCTTTTAACTCTTTTATTTTTTTAATGTAGTAAGACTATTACTAAGGCAATTTAGGTGACAAGGAAAGAAAACTACTTGGTTGGGGGCAAACTCGAAATGCCAAAGACTGTCAACCTATAGAACGCTATATGGAAATAGGTCTACTGAGCTGTTTCATCACTGCAGTAAAAAACGTGTTTAAATTGTTTTATAATTTTATAACAGCCCAGATTTTTACCTGAACAAATGCGGAATGTTTATATGCAAACTGAGTTTTAAATGCAATATTGTATAGTGCAACTTCAACGTGTGACTCTGCTTTGAATTCTCTAGTATTGGAAAGTTAATGTTTCTCAAGTAGGTATAATAAACAAAGAATTTAACCAAAAGAAATGAGTTTGGAAATTCTAACATACCTAAAAAAGCAAAGCTATGCTCTAACTTGACATTAGAAAGTTTTGTCTTAAAGGTTTTAGTTTGTTTTCATACAGTTCTAATCTAGTTATAATCTGTATATTTTTAAAGTGTCAACAATGGGTGGTGAGGTTGCTTGAGGACCCAGATGCAGAGACAAGTGAAGCAGCGATGAGTTCTGAGAGGTTTAATTGCAGACCAAATAGCAGCAGAGGCAGAAATCCTGAAATCCAACTTAAAAAATAAAACAAACCAAAATCATGGAGACATCAGGGGAAAAACAAGTCTGAGGAGCCGGGGAGAGACGAGCAGAGTAGACAATACAGCAGCAACAAGAAGGAACCAGCACTGAGTGACTGCAGAGGTGGAGTATTTAAGGAGAACCAAACAAAAGGATGGACTAACGAGCTGAATGGGGAGCAGGTGTGGGAGGAACTGGCAAGAGGGAATCCAAGGGGAAAGAAAACAATCACAAGGGGGCAACAGAGAGTAACTAAAGAATGTTTGAAGATCATGGAAAATAAAAACAAAACAACTGATAACAGAAAACTCAGAGTCACAAAAAATAAGAACCATAACATAAAGACTTACAGCTACTGTAGACAAGTTGCTGCTACAGTACCTCTGAAAATGTTTCAGTTCTTAGCAAATGATGAAGTGTTAGGTTAACTTTAGCAGGTTTAATATCATTGTTAAAATTACCAAATATTTCAACTTGGGTTATTAAGTTTTAACTAAACATATATACAGACTAAATACACATAACATATTCCCATGCTTTAAGGAAATATAAATAGGTATTTTACATTTACAATTCTTCTAATATCCTCTTTAAATGAATAATTAGACATTATTTTAATTAGAAACAGAAAATTGAATAGAGTTCATTTGCAGCTCTATTTCGTACCCCTTCTTTTTCACAATGAAATGCAAAATTGTTTGAATCATGTCCATGCACATTTATGTGCTCTGTAAAGAGGTATGTGTTGATTGGTCACAGGAAGCGCAGACCTGCAATGATGTCTGTCCTTGTGTTGTACATATATTGATATGCTCTAAAAACCAGAGTCGAGCTACCTATATGTGAGCCGAAAGTAAATATCAGGGAAGAGGTCTTTGAGTATCATTCAGTAACGTTCTTTTTATTTCATGCATCTACACACATGACCATAACACAGCTGTTTTGTAATTGCGATGATGTGAAGATTAAGTGATTTTAGCCGGTTGATGAGAGACAGGTGCAGTAAGAGAAAGGAGGGCTCCGGTTAGCACCCTTCCACAAATGATCTGGATCCAGGAGGAGGACGGAAGTCTCTCTATGTATAGAGCGCGCCATTGTAGAGGTTTTTTATTTTTATTTTATTTTTTTGAGCAAAGAGCCCACACAGACGCACGCACACACACACACACACACACACACACACACACACACACAAAAACTCATTTTACAATGTGGCATCCCTGGTAGGTTTTAACTGAGGCCCAAACCTTACATGTTTTAAAATACAAAGGCAGAAAAAGTCCAAGATCAAATGTGAAAAAAGGCAAATATTTTTTATGCCTAGAGATATAAGATGCAAGTAGTGCTTGTAATGCAATATGAATGTTATCTGAAGAGGGAGCTAAAGCTATGGAAGCAAGTCATGAGTAAGTACTCCCAACTCATGAGTCACAACAATGTTTATGTCCAGTGATTGCATTAAGTGCAAAAGATTTAAAAAAGAACTATGCAAACACTATCACGATAAGTACTCGACTTATATTTTTTTTGTTGATGATCAATTTATATTTTTTTAGGTATAGTACACAGGGTTTGGCATTGAGAATCAATAAACCATCAGAACTGGTTCAAACCATTCAAATCACCCAGAATCGCACAAATTTCTCTCCTTTTTGATTCCTTGTTTTGATCCTCAGTCACCCAACCAGAAATAGAAGCTGCCTAATATCAGCGAAGACGAATTTGCAGCAGTGTTGTGTGCAACCATAAGTTTGTGCCGCAACAATTAAGTATGACGTAACGTAACATTCGGTTACCGGAAACACTGGCGGTAGGATTATATTATGCAAAGGACCAGCATAAAACATAAACACCATCTTTGACCCGTTGGACTGTTGATGTAGGCTCCCTAAATGAATCTGTTCCTCCTCTAAAAAACGCAGCCTCTACAGGAACTGTCTTCCTCTTCCTCTGTCATAACACATACCCACCTTGTTTCCCACCTGTTCTGAATTGAATAAAAAGCACTTTAATGTAGAGCTTTATCTTGTTTATTTTAGTTAATTTTTAATGTTTCTTAAGATAAAACTCCTTTACCGAAGAATAGAATTTGGAATTCCACGTCAAGTTGAGGTGCTGTAAATAACACCTGTCTGGATCCCTGTCTGGATGCCTTCCTGCTGCACTGCTTTTTGTTTTCACGCTCACATACACAGCCTAGAGGCGCACCACAGTCAGAATCAGGTTAATATAAATAATAGGGGTGTGGGAAATAATCGTTTTGGCGATATATCGTGATAT